CAGCTTTTTCTGCTTATGTGGTGCTGAGGAATCAAACCCAGGGCCTCATGCATGCAAGGCAAGCACTCTACCACTGAGCCACCTTCCCAGCCCATGTTAGGTTCTTTTGAAGCAGCTGTTTTCTATACTTTATCTTTTTCCCTTTTACATATGTGTGTGTGTGTGTGTGTGTGTGTGCGCGCACACACACACACACAAAGAGACAGAGCTCCACTATCATAGATTGTTTTGTGTTGCTGAATGTGAATTTTTGAACTTTCAGTTTGCTGCTGCTTCACATTTGGATACCATGACTTAGAGTAGGCTACGTAGAAAGTCACATGAAGATTGCTTATGTAGATGAGGCATAAAGAAAAAAACTTGGGTCTCTTCATAGCTAAAGGTAGCAATGGAATTAACCTATCAATTCTGTGACTTTTTTTGTAAGCATTAGTTTATATAAAGGAGGGTTTCATTATGGTATTTCCATGTGTATAATCAGTGTATTCTAATTAATCTTCCCTTCCTCTGCAACACCTCCTTACCCTTAGAAAACATAAAAATGAGGGGTTGGTAGAGTGCTAACCAATGAGGCAAAGCATTAGGTACCAGATTTAAGTCCTGATCTCGCTCAAAAAAAAAAAAAAACCAGAACAATACTTTAGCTGAGTGCTGGTGGCTCACACCTAGCTAGCTACTCAGAAGGCTGAGATCTGAGGATCTGGTAGGAAAGTCCCTGAGACTCTTATCTCCTGTTAACCACAGAAAACTGGAAGTAGCACTCAAAGGGGTAGAGTGCTAGCTTGAGCAAAAGAGCTCAAGGACAGCACCCAAGCCCTGAGCTCAGACCCCATGACTGAAGGGGGTTGGGGGAGAAAGAAGCTTAAAAATGGGTGAAACTTGGTTTCCTGCTTAGAGTGGTTCTAGTTGTTAGGGAGCCTGAGGCAGGAGAATGCCTTACGCACCAAATTTCAAAGCCAGCATAGGAAAAGAGACTCTTATCTTTGAGAAAGAAATCATGTTTGCTGCTGCTGATGCCTTATTTTATAATTTGGGGTTTGTTTTAATGGAAATTTTTATTTTGTTTTTTTTTTGTTGTTGTTGTTGCTTTTGCCTGATGTTTGGAGTGAACATTGAATGACTAGTAGTTTAATCCAATGGCAAGAACCACAATGGAGTGCTTATGCAACATAGAGTGACCCAAATATTTGCTTTTTTGTCATTATTTCTGCTGTTTATTGACTTTAGGTATCTATCTTGAAAGAAAGAAAAAAAGCAGCCACTGGAACAGTAACTATTGAATTGATTTAAAATAGAAATTGATAGTTGTTAGACACTGTGGTAAATTACCCTCTTAAATCTTCCCTGCATCTTACAATGACCCTCATGCTGTACCTATAATATTCTGAATGTACAAGTCATTTAAGGCAGAAACTATATGAGGAATGGCCTTTGTATTCCATGTGCATTCTTAAAAATACCTATCTTCAGTTCTTTAGAGTACTGAAAATAAAAACAAATATTCACACTTTTCAATGCATAACTTTTTTATTTCAGGAAATTCCACTTTCAGAAATTCTGCGAGTATCTTCACCACGAGATTTCACAAACATTTCACAAGGCAGCAACCCACACTGTTTTGAAATCATCACTGATACTATGGTATACTTTGTTGGAGAGAACAATGGGGACAGCTCTCACAATCCTGTTCTAGCTGCCACTGGAGTTGGACTTGATATAGCACAGAGCTGGGAGAAAGCAATTCGCCAAGCTCTCATGCCTGTGACCCCTCAAGCAAGTGTTTGCACTTCTCCTGGCCAAGGGAAAGAGCACAGTAAGCAATAATCTGCTTTATTTTTAAGCATTTGGGGTGGGGTATAGTTGTGTTTCTTGTGCAGTTTTTTTTCTTTATGCTTTGTTTTCTGCTGGTTACTACAGCTTGAACCATGCACACACTCAACGCTCATGGCTTGTATAATGCCACTTCAACCACACACAGCTCCACTTCTGGCTTTTTGGTGGTTAATTTGAAATACATCTCTTAGATTTTTCTCCTCAAACAAGCTGGCTCCAAACCTCAATTCTCAGATCTCTGCATTCTGAGTAGTAGTATAGGTATAAGCCACAAACACCCAGTACTTTTGTCCATTTTTAATGTTTCCTGTTAAGTTTTGCCTTAAGTAACCAATATCATTAGTAAACTACTCTTGTGAAATTATGATATAATCATATACTCAAACAGTGCCTTTAACTAGGCATTCCAGTGTGAACAATCTGTTGTATGATGTTATTCAAGTACTTTACCTCTGTATAGAAGTCCCTACTTCCTAGAGTTGTGAAAAGGAACCTACATAAAGAAGAATGTTTAGCATCTATGAGGTCACTTAGTGACTAGTATTTGTACTCTGTTTCATGGTGGGATATAAATAAATAATAATGTACTGTGTTTATATCATATTCATGAACTCTGTAAAGGCAGAACTACTATTGTTTAAGCAAATTAAAACATTCAAAAATACTAAAAGTATTAAAAAATAAGGGGCTGGGAAGGTGCTCAGTGGTAAAGCGTTTGCCTTGCATGCATTAGGCCCTGGGTTCAATTCCTCAGCACCACATAAGCTGGGGGAAAAAAAGCCAGAAGTGGTGCTGTTGCTTAAGTGGTAGAGTGCTAGCCTTGAGCTGAAGAGCTGAGGGACAGCGCCCAGGCCCAGAGTTCAGGCCCCACAACCGGACACCCCCCCAAAAAAAAAGTATTGAAAATATATTCTATGACAACAAAATATATAATTTAATATATATAATTAAATATTTTTATAATTAAATGTTTAATTTAAAAGTGAATGATTAAAATCATAATGCCACTTGGCATTATATTATGGATAAACCATTCATGAGACATAAGCACAATTATATAAAAATAAATGTCAGCCAATTTTAATTGCACCTATTTTAATTTACCTGTGTTTTACACAACTCTTTATTGCATAGTAGGCTCTGTGCTAGAATACAATAGAAATTCAAGAATTGTAAAAGCTGTTTAGGGAAATGCAACATACATGTTAGTAGTATAATCTAGAATAGTTTAAAAATGCATACTCTAAAATCTCAAATCGGAACAGAAAAGAGTAAGCAAAGACTGCACAGTAGAAAAGTCTGATTTGGACTTCAGGAAGAAATAAGATAGGCTGAGCTAAATGGGAGAGATGGAGGAACTTGTACTAACTCTAGTTGAAGAGACAGGTATGTCAGAGGGATGAGGGTTATGAGTCATGTCCATGTTTGGTGTTTCATATTAACTTGGAGGAAGCCAAGTTGATGGATATTTCACAGGGGTTCTTAAGTTCTGGACTGTTTTAGACAGAATTCTGAGATTTTAATTAAAACCCATGACCCTTTCCCCCGAAAATATACAGATACACATGCATATTTTAATGTGTCCTTTCTAAGGATCTAGAGATCTTCTCAAGCTCAACCTTAAACTTCCTCAAGTAAAGAGTCTCTAAAGGCAGTCAAGACTCTAAAAGAGTCTTTTAGAGACAGTTAAGACTCTAAAAGAGTTAAGACTAAAGATTCTACAGCCTGGTTCCAGTGGGTCATACTAGTAATCCGAGCTACTTAGGAGACTGAGATACAGTGGATTATAGTTGGAAGCCATCCTGGGCAGAGAAGTCCATGGGACTTAAAAAAGGCAAGGCTAGAGATGTGGCTCAAGTAGTAGAGTGACAGCCAAGCAAACAAGCTGGGAAAGCTCAAAGCCCCAGGACTGCTCAAAAGAGTGAAGATTCTTGAACTTGTAAGCCTCGTTCTGTTGTTAACTTACTTATGTGGTCTTGGACTCTTCAGTTCTCTTATTATCTAAACTGGAATAGTATATGAATGCAAGGCATTTAACCATGGTGATTGATACATAAGCGCAGTACTATCACTCTGCTGTTCTGGCTGTTATATGTCTGTCTGACACAGAAAGAAGTTTAAATTGGAGGGCTGGGAAGGTGGTTCAGTGGTAGAGTGTTTGCCTTGCATGCATGAGGCACTGGGTGCAATTTCTCAGCACCACATGAGCAGAAAAAGCTAGAAGTGGCGCTGTGGCCTTGAACTGAAGAGCTGAGGGACAGCGCCCAGGCCTAGAGTTCAGGCCCCACAACCGACAAAAAAAAGAAATTAAAACTAGATAGATCTAAGAGCAGAAGTCTTTGAAGGAAAATGAGGAGAAGACAAACTAGGAAAGAAACTACCAAAAAGGAATTTTAGACACAGTAATTTCATTTATGCTATGTCTTAATCATTAATATTTAAAATTAGAATTATTTTAAAGATTTAAACTGGCTTTATTTAAAATGGAATTCTTGACAATCATTTCCATTTTTTGATGTTTTTTTATTTCCAAAATACTATACAGAGAGGTTACAGTTACATGAACAAGATAATGAGTACATTTCTTATCCAGCATTGTTGCCTCCTCCTTTGATGTTTTATTTCTATATTGCTAATTTTTTTTTTTTTTTTTTTTGGTTGGTTGTAGGTCTTGAACTTGGCCTGGGTACTATCCCTGAACTCTTCGGCTCAAGGCTAGCGCTCTACCATTTGAGCCACACTTCCAGTTTTCTGGTGGTTAACTGGTTAACAGACATTCCTGCCTGGGCTGGCTTTGAACCAGGATCCTCAGATCTCAGCTTCCTGAGTAGATAGGATTACAGGTGTGAGCCACTGGTGCCCGGTGCTATTTTATATTTTTATATTGGGAGTTCAAAAGGAAATTTTTTATTTTGTTTTGTGTTCAAGATTCTAGATGTATGGTGGCTATTCTCTTATTTATTATTTTATTTCCCTTTATCTTGTCAGTAACTTTTTTTGCTTACCAAAGCAATATGTTTAAACTTTATAGAAACATTATGTAAAGTGAAAAAGCTTTCTTTTCCTTTTTTTTTTTTTTGCGGTTGTGGGGCCTGAACTCTGGGCGCTGGCCCCAGCTCTTTAGCTCAAGGCTAGTGCTCTACCACTTGAGCCACAGCTCTACTTTCAGCTTTTTCTGCTTATGTGGTGCTGAGGAATTGAACCCAGGGCCTCATGCATGCAAGGCAAGCACTCTACCACTAAGCACCTTCCCAGCCCCTCCTTTACTTTTGTAATACCCATCCTCATCCCCAATCCTATATTCTGGCCTCAAGAAAACATAATTAATAGTTTGCTGTATATTTCTTGATTGAGGAAAGACGTAGGATGCCATTTTTTTTAACAAAAAGGTAGTCATACACTTTTGTGGGTTTTTTTTGCAATTTTCTTTAATAATATATATCAGACATATTTCAGTATTATATGTTTTACTGATTTTAAATTTTTAATGGAAGTGATGCATGCTTTTTATGTTTAAAAAAAATGCAGACAGTCCAGGCATTGGTGGCTCATGTTCATAGTCCTAGCTACTCAGGAGGCTGAGATCTGAGGATCACAGTTCAAAGGCAGCCTGGGCAGGAAAGTCCACGAGACTCTTATCTCCAATAAACTACTCAAAAAAAGCTGGAAGTGGTGCTGTGGCTCAAGTGGTAGAGTGCTCACCTTGAGCACAGAGAGGCTCAGGGACAGAGCCCAGGTCCTGAGTTCAAGCCCCAGGACCAGCAAAAAACAAAAATCACAGACATAATGTTTACATACATATGCATGCACATACACACACATGCACGTAAGTACGCTCAGACACTAGTGCTCCACAACTACTTTTTTGGAGTGTCAGTGCTGGTGATCGAAAGCCAGACTACACATACTCTTATCATTAAACTACATCTTCAACTGCCCTTCTTAAATTCATATAACATCACAACTAGCTTTCTTACTATAGTCCTATATCATTTACTAATTTTAAGTTTAGAGTATATAGACTGGTGCCAGTGTCTGAAGTCAGCCCAGGCAGGAAAATCTGTGACTATTTCCAATTAACAATGAAAAAAGCCAGAAGTGGAGTTATGGCTTAATTGGTAGAACACTATAGTCTTGAGCAAAATGAAAAACATTTAAGGGCAGTGCCCAAAAGTTTAAAGCCTAGGACTTGCACAAAATAAAAAAAATTTAGAGTATTACTTTGTACAAATGTGTTACTATATTTTACTTAATTTTTTTGATGGGTTAGTATCATGTGTGTAAATTTTTAATGTATTTATTAACTATTGTAACATTTTAAGTTTGATATATTCTTCACATGTGAGTAGAAATATGGTTAAGATATCAGTAATTTTTTTTCTTAACCACCATTCTTATATTTTACAGAAGATTTGGCTACCAGTATCTCTGTATCCAATTGTCAGGTCCAGGAGAATGTGGTAAGTAACAATTGTAGCTGATATGCAAATTGGGTGCATCAAATAAAGAAAGTGCAAAATTTATTAAAGAAATGTTTATTGCCCAGAGTACTGGGCAGTTTGTTAAGACTGAACTTTGTGGGTGATACTTGCCCTAAGAAGTTCTGAGTTATAGAAGAAACCTAAGGCAGGGGCAGATTTGTTTTCTTTTTAGTTACTTTTCAGGTATAGTTGCTCATATTTTTGCTTGGGCATGGCTATATACTATAATCTTCTTACCTCACATACTTTTCCTTAAAGTCACTATGAACTTTGAATTTTTCTTTCAAATCAAAGATAGCAGTCTCGGTCCCTCCACCCTACCCTATTCCCTTCTTCTTTCTCTTTGCAGTGCAAGATAACAGTCTGTTACTAATTTAATCTGTAAAACTTTGTTCTTTCTTGTATGTGTGCGTACTTATGCATGTGTGTGCATGTGTTGGTCCTGGGACTTGAATTCAGCTTGGGCATTATTCCTGAATTTCTTTTGCTCAAGGCTAGCACTCTATCACTTAAGCAAAACTTCACTTCCAGCATTTTTGGGAGTAGTTAATTGGAGATAAATTGGCCTTTTCTGCTTGGGCTGGATTTGAACCACAATCCTCAGATCTCCGCCTCCTTAGCTAGGATTACAGATGGAGCCACCAGTACCTAGCGTTCTTCTTCTTTAAAAAAAAAAAATGGTAATTTCTCTTGCAGCTCACTACAAATATTATCTAAATCATTTTTTTCCTATAGGTATTCCTATGGAAAACTTCATATGTACATTATCACAGTATGAGTTTTTTTTCTAGAATATAGAGAGCCTTTGTTTCATAAAATACTTTGTGCTTTATAAAAATTCATTGATTTACTAAATCAGAGATACTGTCAGTGTTTTATAGAGAAAAGTAATGCTGCTTACTTTCTCCTGATAGGATATCAGCAGTGTTTACCAGATCTTTGCAGATGAGGTGCTTGGCTCAGGCCAATTTGGCATTGTTTATGGAGGTAAGAAACTACAATCTTTTGTGTTGCAAATATTATAGAAAAATGGTGAAATTTAAAAATATCAGTTACTTGGTCATCTCCTTGTGATCAGGTAGCCTTTTTCTCAACTACTGACTTGTGTTCTTTCAATTAAATCCTTTTCACTAAAGTTGAAAAGTCCTTAATTTCAAATGCAGAAAGGAAAATGTATCAAAGAATCAGGAAATTAGTTTTACAACAGTATCTTTTCTTATAGTTCACACATATGTGTTTGTGGGTTGGGGGATATTGAAGTTAATATTGGATTATGTGGACTCACTAAAATGTGTAGTCTGACACAAATGGCAGCATTTGTCTACTGTTAGCATCATAGCATCAATGAGATCTTAGTCTATTCTATGTCTTAGAATGTAGATGAAGTCATTGACCTTCCTATGTCTCTGTATCTTCATCTGCTTGATGGAACGAATAAAATCTGACCAGCATAGCTCTCAGGGTTGTTAATTTCAATTCAAGTTAATCTAATGTGTACATATAAGTACTTCATTAAGCCATAATCCCATATTAAGAAAATGTTAACCCTTATCCATTCCCTTGTGTCCAATCTTGTTCTTTTATACCATCTTGGAGTAAATCTTTCCAAAAACCCACATCTAATAATCTTGTCATTTTTACTGCTTGAATCTGTAGCATTTAAACATTGTCTAGTATGTAATAGGTTCAAAATAACTAGTTCAAATCAATGAATAAATGAGTGGCTATTTATTTAACACAATTACGTTTTAAGTCTCTTATATCTAAAATATAAGGCCTTCCAGAATGGGATCTACCATGGTTAATCAGTCTGCTGATTCAAGAAAACCTGGACTAAGCCAGGTGCCAGTGGATCACACCTATAAATCCTAAGTACTCAGGAGGCTGAGATCTAAGGATCACAGTTTGAAGCCAAACTGGGCAGAAAAGTCCCCAGTGAAACTCTTATCTCCAAATAACCACTCAAAAACTGGAGGTGTTGCTGGGGCTCAAATTCATAGAGCCTTGTGTAAAAGAAGCTCAGAGGCAGCACCCATGCCCTGGGTTAAAGCCCCACAACCAACAAAAAAGAAAACCTAGAATAAAATTAATTCATAATTTATTAGGTTTTTGTTGTTGTTGTTTTTTATCTGGGTTGTTTTGTTTTTGCTGGTCCTGGTACTTGAATTCTGGGCCTGGGTACAGTCCCTGAAATTGCTCAAGGCTAGCACTCTACCACTTGAGCCTACATTGCCACTTCTGGCTTTTTTTGTGATTAATTGGATATAAAAGTCTCACAGGCTTTCCTGTCCCAGCTGTCATTGAACCATTTTCCTCAGATCTTAGCTTCCTAAGTAGGTAGGATTACAGGAATGAACCACTGTTGCCCAGCTTCATTAGTATTTTTATCTTGACAGTATCTACAGCCTCTGTTAGAGCATTTAGCTCACTTATTTAGCAAGGTCAATTACTTTTCAGCAAGCAAGCACATTTAAATATTCTGCAATTTCAGATAAGGAAAGTTCCTATAAAAGGAAAACTAATGAAAATTTTGTATAGCAAGAAAACATATCACTTTTTAATATGAAGAGTAAAAGAATGTAGAGAAAGAAAAAAAAAACAAAGAAAAAAATATGAGTATATACACACAGTTCTCCACACCGTCTATGGACAGCTTCCCAACAAATCTTTTGTATTGTATGTTAAATGTTAATTTGCTTCTTTTCTATTTTTTTTAATAGGAAAACATAGAAAGACTGGAAGGGATGTGGCTATTAAAGTAATTGATAAAATGAGGTTCCCCACAAAGCAGGAAAGTCAGCTTCGTAATGAAGTAGCTATTTTACAGGTAATATAATTAATAGTAATATAATTAATAGTAATCATTTTTAAAATTGACTCATCAAGTCTTAGCTCCAAACACATGCTCTTTCTTCTTTGCCTTATTGGATCATGTGTGTGTATGCATGTCCAATTGTGAGTTTTCAGGTGTTCTTTGCTATGTGTAAATTTAAATATATATATATGTATATATATATGATTAACTTTAGCTTACTTTCTATATGAACTACAGTAGAATCTGAATTTATTCAGCAAATACACTTTTTTAAAGGAAAGTTTTCAAAACATGGCTCATTGATTGAAATTAGTTCTACAAGATATGAGCATTGTAGGCAGATTTTCTGCATATATATAAAGGAACCTAATGCATTTTTATAGTCACACCACCCTGTGGCTCTTCTCAGCTGTATCAGCTTCACTTTGTCATTTTTACCCTCAGTTGTTGTTATATATCTACATATCAAACAGTACTGTGTTGAGCTTGGTATAATCATTTTTTACCAGTAGCCCAAGGGCATTCAAACTTTTCTTTCCCATGTCCCCCATCTTTAAGAAGAAAGTATTGAGAATACTGTTTTGCCTTTCCAGTAGCAAGGAGGGGGGAAAGTTATAGAATCATTGATTCAGAAAGGACCACACAGTTTATTCAGGAATATTCAGTCTTACTGTTACAGTGTTTAATGGTGATCAGCTCTGCCTTGCTGTCTGCTTAATAGAAATGAACACATATGAAAATGGCAGCATTGCCCAAAGCTATCTACAAATTGAATAATACCCATCAAAATTCCAACAACATTCTTCAACTATATGGAAGAAGCAATTCAAAAAATTCATATGGACTAATAGAAGACCCTGAATAGCAAAAACAATCAATCCTTAGCAGGAATACCACTGGAGGAATATCAATACCAAACTTCAAACTATTACAAAGCTGTAGTAATAAAAACAGCTTGGTACTGACACAAGAATTGACCTGAAGAGCAATGGAATCGAAGACTCAGAAATGAATCCACAGACCTATAGCCACCTAATACTTGATAAGGGAGCCAAAAACAGGATGGAGAAAGATAGCTTCTTCAATAAATGATGCTATCAGATTTGGCTATATATATATATGCAGAAAAATGAAGTTAGGTCCTTATATATCACCCTGTACCAGAATCAACTCGAAATGGATCAGAGATCTTAGTGTAAGACCAGATACCCTGAAAATATTACAAGAAGGGGTAGCGAAAACACTAAGGCAGGCTCCTTGGCACAGGTCAAAACTTTCTAAGTAAAGATTCAGAAACAACAAATCAAAGAAAGGTTAGATAAATGGGATTTCATCAAACCGAAGAGTTTCTGCATGGCAAAGGACATAGCAAGATAAATAGAAAGTCCACAGAATGGGAGATCATCTGTACTAGCTATACAACAGACAAAGGCCTCATATCTTAAATATCCTTGGAGCTCAGAAAATTAACCCCCCACAAAAAAATCCTCAAAGAACCAGCCAGCCCATTAATAAGTGGGCTAGACTTAAAGAGAGTCTACTCTGAAGAGGAAATAACAACCAAGAGACACATGAAATGTTCAACATCTCTGGCCATAAAAGAAATGCAAAGCAAAACAACATTGAGATTCCACCTCACCCCAATTAGAGTGGTCATTATCAAGAAAACTATAATAATAGATGCTGGCAGGAATGTTGCTAAAAGGGAGTGCTACTACAATGTTGGTAAACTTGTTCAACCACTCTGGAAAGCAGTATGGAGGTTCTGCAGAAGACTAAACATAGAGCTTCCCTATGACCCAGCAATCCCACTTCTACGCATCTATCTAATTGACCACAACTAGACTACACCAAAGCCACCAGCACAACCATGTTCCTTGCATTGTTCACCATAGCCAAGATACAGAATCAACCCCAGATATCCCTCAGAGGACAGATGAATTAAGAAACTAGTAAATATACACAGGGGAATTCTATGCTTCCATAGAAAGAATGACATTGAAATACTTGGAAAAAATTATACTAAGCAAAGTAAGCCAGACCCAGGGAAACACAGGCTGCATGTTTTCCCTCATTTGTAATAACTAGAATGTGCCTATAAAGTAATAACTAGAATGTGCCTGCAAGTAAAACCAATGGACAATACTTTCATTGGACGTGGACATAATTAAACAGCAATCTAAACATTCACACTATGAGAACAAAGGATATTCTTAGAGGATTGCAAGGGCTCACTAGCTGTGTGCATAAGATCATTTATACTGTTTGTGGGGTTTTTCTTCTTTCCTTTTTGGTTACATAATTCCCTGCTGTTTTTTATTTTTGTACCTTTTGTATATAAGTTAATCTTATTTGGGGGAGGTTAGGGGTAGCATAGAAACTGTGAACCAATTTAGCAGTGAAACCCCAGTGGACACTGCTGGAAATGAACTATACTACTTTGCAGGGAGGGGGAAAACTAGGAGAGAATGAGGGAGAGGATGATCCTGTTCAAATAAAATGTACTTATTACCTGAATCATGAAATTGTAACCCCTCTGTACATCAACTTTAACAATAAACTTTTTTTTTTTTTTTGCTTATGTGGTGCTGAGGAATTGAACCCAGAACTTCCTGCAGGAGAGGCAAGCACTCTACCACTGAGCCAACTTCCCAGCCCTACAATAAACTTTAAAAAAAAAAAAAAGAAATGAACACATTTTAACACCTTTTTGTTTATAAGCAGAACCAAAATCTAAAAAGGTTCCACTGTAGATGCCACTCAGCAAATTTAATCTCTTTACCAGGTGGTTCTGTTTATCAGATATACTAGACATATCCTCAAGGGCTTTTGCATGAGCTGTGCCTCTGATAAGAATACCTTCTCTCAGATGTTTGCATGACATACTCCTTTGTGTCCTTTTAAGAGTTTGTCCAAATACTATTTCCTCAATGAAGTCCTCAAATTCTGTTCAGCATTAAATGAAGTGTCTCGCCCCAGCACTCCCTTATCCTACATCTTTTCTTCAGTTACCTACCACTTCCTAAGTAAATTTGTTTCTTCTGGCATCCCATCTTTCTGGACTTTATGAGTCCATGAGGGTGTGTGAGCTTCTAGTATTAATGAATCCTAACTACATACTTAGTATTGGCACATGATAGCTCATTTAGTATCAGCTGAATAAATGTGTTATGAGGTGTGGAATGATAACGTATGTTAATTTCATTAATTATAGAAAAAGATTCATACCTATAGAAAGGTTGACAGGGCCACATCCTAGCACTTTGTGCAGCAAGGAAGAAATGAGGGAGGAGCAGACTTTGGTCTCTTAGATACATGGTAATGCAAAATGTTTCCTTTGCTCTTGCCTGAAGAAGGTAGTAGTCAGGGAAAATGTAGCAGTCTCATTAACTATGCACATGGGAAAATGTTAAGTTCGAATTTTCTAGCTTAAATATTGTAGTATGATTTCAGCATTTCCTCGTTCTCCTTGTGGAAAACCCTCCAGGGCTACCAAAGGAATAAAAAAGAGAAGCGCAAATGCTACCTTTAATTTTTAAAAATTCAGCTCTATAAAATAGTGTTTTCAAAAATTAGAAAGTAATGTTGCTGCAAGCAGGAAGAAGGGCTTAAGTGAGCTGTTTTTTCTAGTTTTCTCTAACAAGTTACTCATCTGATATCTTCCTTGGGTCACTTGGTCAAACAAAAGAGGAAAAATACGTTAAATGAAATGAAGAAAGTCACTTCAAAGATGGAAGAAGTACCGTTTACATCACTACTCTTTTAAATTACAGGGGAGGTTTTTGTTCTTTAGGGCAGTTTAGTATAAAACAGTTACATTTACCTTCATTGCTTAAGCCTTGAGTTTGTTTATTCTGTCAGTTATAGATTAATAATGGTTTATTTCTCTTGTCTTTTCTGACTTCCCTTTATAAGTACTCATGTTGATGGAATATATAAATAAAAGAATATGTAAGAGAATATCAAAAGAAAAGTAAAATAAGTTGCAAACCTATGCAAAATAAAAACAAAAGCCCTCTTGAAGAGATGACCACATATACAGAAGAAATGGAAGAAGGTCTCTACTCTTCTCTCCACTGGACAATTGGGAAAATCAGTGTCTATTCCTTATCTATTATGTTTGTTTTTTATTTTTCTAAGTTTTTTATGCTCTGTATTTCACAGTCAATTGTAACATGTTAGATATTTGCATAGTAAGATTATTTCTCTACTTAAGTTGGTCATTAAATATCTGCAACCTCTGTTCAGAATTTGCATCACCCTGGGATTGTAAACCTGGAATGTATGTTTGAAACCCCAGAACGAGTCTTTGTAGTCATGGAAAAGCTGCATGGAGATATGCTGGAAATGATTCTGTCCAGTGAGAAAAGTCGGCTTCCAGAACGTATTACTAAATTCATGGTCACACAGGTACTTCCCAGTCTTCTTTGAAACTAAAGAATAACTTATAATTAAGACAAATAGCAGTATTTTTACATACTGGGTGATTATGGAGATTGTTAATCTTAAAGACATGAAATAATACTTTTAGCTTCATCTCTGATTAACTGTATTTGATTTTTTCAAGTTACTAGACTATTCAAGAAGTAATATTGGGGATTTTCTAGGTATTAAGCAAAGCCTTTTTCTTTCATAACAGATACTTGTTGCTTTGAGGAATCTACATTTTAAGAATATTGTGCACTGTGATTTAAAGCCAGAAAATGTGCTGCTTGCCTCAGCAGAGCCCTTTCCTCAGGTGAGGTGTTCTCCAGAACCTTCTGAAGAATCATTTTAATCTAAACATGTAACATCATTTAAAAAGTGCCCACATAATGAAAAGTGACAAAAGAACAGCACATGCACCATTCCATTAAAAAGAAGAAGAAATAAAGAACCTGGCCAAATGTGTCGGTTCATATCTATAATCCGAGCTACTTGAGAAGATTGTGGTTCAGGGCCAATTTAGACAAAAAAGTTAGTACTAAGACAACTGTCTCCACTTCAGCTAACAAAAGCTGGGCATGCTGGTGCATTCCTAGAATCCGAGCTCTGTGGGAAGCCCGACTAGCCTAGGCATAAATGCAAGACCCTCTTGGAAAATAAAAGCAAAAAGGGTGAAGAATGTGGCTCAAGTTGGAGAGTACCTTCCTACCAAGTGCCTAGGTTCAAATGCCAATACTACCAAAAAAATTAAAAACAACAAAATTCAATAACTGTAACATCAATTTAGTGATATTCTAAAAGCTAAAATACAAAGGTGTTATTTATTTTTTATTTTTTGGTCAGTCGTGGGGCTTGAACTCTGGGCTTGGGCGCTGTCCTTCAGCTCTTCAGTTCAAGGCTAGTGCTCTACCATTTGGGCCACAGCACCACTTTTGGTTTTCTGAGTTGTTTATTGGAGAGAAGAGTCTCACAGACTTTCCTGCCTGGGCTGGCTTTGAACCATCCTCAGATCTCAGCCTCCTGAGTAGCTAGGATTACAGGCGTGAGCCACCAAGCCCAGCAAAGGTGTTTTTTAAGTACTGAAAAAACTCATTACGTATCACAGAGCTACAGATGTATCTGTCTGCTTTTGGGAAAAGGATCTTTCAACTTACCTACAATTGTTTTGTACTCATTATCAGTACCATTGGCAACTGCAGTGAATGATAGAGTATCATATGTAGGGACAGATGTATATGTAATATAAAATGAACATACCTTCTATTTCCAGGTGAAGTTGTGTGACTTTGGATTCGCACGCATCATTGGGGAGAAGTCATTCCGGCGATCGGTAGTGGGAACTCCAGCTTACTTAGCCCCTGAGGTTCTCAGGAGCAAAGGTTACAACCGATCTCTAGATATGTGGTCAGTGGGAGTCATCGTCTATGTTAGCCTTAGTGGCACATTTCCATTCAATGAGGATGAAGATATAAATGACCAAATCCAAAATGCTGCATTTATGTACCCACCAAATCCATGGAAAGAAATTTCTAGTGAAGGTAAAAAAAAAAAAATCACTTAAAATTCTTTGTGATTTGCACATCATCCGGTCTCTTCTGACTTCTCTATTTAGTTGTTGTTCTGATTTTATTTTCCTTATAACTTTTAGGCGTAGCAGCAATCCAGGCCTCAACTGTCTCATTTGTGAACTAGTAAAATCCTTTTAATTTCCCCCCATTAGGCACTTGTGCTTTTTAGTCATGACTGCCAAATCCATCTCAGGAAACAGTATTAAACAGTATTTTCTTTTTTTTTTGGTTGGTCGTGGTGTTTGAACTCTGGGCCTGGGCGCTATATACCCTCAGCTCTTCAGCTTAAGGCAAGTGCTCAGCGCCAGCCACTTCCGGTTTTCTAGTGATTTATTGGAGATAAGAGTCTCAAGGACTTTCCTGCCCAGGCTGGCTTTGAACTGTAATCCTCAGATCTCAGCCTCCTGAGGAGCTAGGATTATAGGCGTGAGCCACCTGTGCCCGGCTAGGAAACAGTATTTTCATCTTAATCAGTTCCCAAACATCTGGTTTCCCTTTAACCAACACAGCTGTAAATGTCCGTGTTCCCCCCCTCCCTCACATTTCTTCCCTGCACAAAGCTAGTTGTGTACTCTATTCTGGTTTTCTGCCTCTTGCTTAAGCCTCCTCCCATTGCCTACAATCTTCACTATTCACGTCTTTCTAATCATCCAAGGACCCCTTGAGTTTCACTAGTGAACTTTTCCCTCACCTACCAAACTATATAAGGTCTACTTAGGCTAAAGTTGCTTTTTTTTTTTTTTTGCATATACTGTGTTTTCATAAATCCTTGTAATCATCAGAACAAGATTATAAACTTCTTGAGACTTGCAGTTTACATTCTTAGAATCAGCTTTACATTCAATTTAGTTCTAAAGTTCTCCTATAGATACATACTGAGAAGCACCATACGTTTTATTTTCCTGTATGTTGAAGGTTTTTGAGTTTTAACACTGAACTCTTATTCAACAATGAACTGGATGTGTCAGCATGTCTTTAGCCTTAGCACTCAGGAGGTTGAGGCAGGAAGACAATGAGTTCAGCATAGACCTTGGAAAAAAAGGGGGGGGTGAGAATTGGCTAGTCCTTTTCAATTTACTGATGGAAAGAAAAAGTATACTACTTAAAATGTTCCTTAAAGCTGGTGCTGGTATCTCACATCTGTAATCCTAGCTATCAGGACGCTGAGGTCACAGGATGGTGGTTTGAAGCAAACTCTAGTTGCAAAGTCCATGAGACTCTTATCTCCAGTTAACCATCCAGATGCCTGAAGTGGAGCTGTGACTCAAGTGAAAGAGTGCAAGCCTTGAGGAAACATGCTGACAGACAGTTCAAGCCTCAGGACTACCACACACACAAAAACGCTACTTAACAGAATTAGTGTGTAGGGGAATTTAGGTGGGTGGGCTTTTTTTGTTGTTTTGGTTTTGTCTTTTTCTAAAATTACTAGGTTTAATCATAGGGGTTGATAAATATTCTATTCAACCAGGGAAAGTCTTTAGAGCCACATCTAAAGACTAAGAAAAATAGATTGAAAAAGACAGACCAGTGGCTTGAACTCCAGGGCCGGGCGCTGTCCCTGAGCTTCTTTTGCTCAAGGCTGGCACTCTATCACCTGAGCCAAAGCTCCATTTCTGGCTGTTTTGGTAGTTTATTGGAGATAAGAATCTCATAGACTTTCCTGCCCAGGCTGACTTTGAATTTTTTTATTTTTTTGTCAGTTGTGGGACCTGAACTCTGGGCCTGAGCACTGTCACTGTCCCTGGCCCTGAGCTCTTCAGCTCAAGGCTAGTGCTCTACCACTTGAGCCACAGCACCACTTCCAGGTTTTTCTGCTTATATGGTGCTGAGAAATAGAACCTAGATCCTCATGCATGCAAAGCAAGCACTCTACCACTGAGCCACCTTCCCAACCCTGGCTTTAAATTACTATCTTCAGATCTCACCCTCTAAATTAGCTAAGATTATAGGTGTGAGTCACTGGAGCCCAGCCATCCCCCCTTCCCCCCCTTTAATGAAGCCTTTTAGAGTTCCAAAGCCTATATGGTCTGTAGACCTATTATGTCAGAATCACTTGATGAGTTGCAGAATCCCAGAGGTTCTGATTCATCAATTGGAAGGATATTATGTGAATTTTAAATAAACATTGGCAGTTACGCACACAGTGAATCATAGTTTAAGGAACAAACAGTGTTAAGTATTTGGAAAACATTCCTGCCAGCATTTTAAACATACTGTTGAATAGGCAGTAAAAATGTATTCCCTTGATTTTGGCAGTGAATCCCTTTTTTTTTTTTTTTTTTGGCCAGTCCTGGTGCTTTGACTTTGGGCCAGGGCACTGTCCCTAAGCTTCTTTTGCTCAAAGCTAGGACTCTACCACTTGAGTCACAGTGCCACTTCTGGCTTTTTGTGTTTATGTAGTACTAAGGAATTGAACCAAGAGTTTCATGCATGCAAGGCAAGCACTCTACCACTAAGCCACATTCCCAGAGTGAATCCCTTTTTTGAAGTAGTTAAAATATGTATACTAAGATCTCATCATACCATAAGTACCAAAGCACCTGAACCTGTTTACTAAAACTTCTTGAGTTTAGACTTAGGCTAATAATTATTGCTTAATGCTGTTCCTGGAGAGGCAAGGCAATGGCTTTTAACTGCTTCTCCAAACCAAGCCAGGAAATAGAGAGCAATGTGGTATCACTGAAAGAGGGGAGGGAGGAAAATCAGCTTGTAATCATAGTATTTTATTCATCTTGAAATAATACTTAGCACCTACGTGCTAAGCACTTTTAGGGGCTAAGCCTTTTTACATGTATTAAGCTAGTTTCCCCTTCCCAAGTTTCATTATACAGATTTGGAGATGAAGACACAGTATAGTTAGTTGAGTAACTGACCCTCTCACATAGCTAAGAAGTACACCTAAATTCATGTATGGAATTTCATCTTTTCCTTTAGCGATTGACTTGATAAACAACCTACTTCAAGTGAAGATGAGGAAACGTTACAGTGTTGACAAATCTCTTAGTCATCCTTGGCTACAGGTAATTTTTTTTAATGTATTTATCTCTTTCGTAGTCCTCATTTGAGTAGCTGTGTTGTATCTTACCTAATGAAACCACTCCAAAATCAACAGATCATATCCATTTCTTAGAATAATGGTAGTGCTATTCAGTGGTTAATTTGTAAGCTCCTGTGAACTGAGAACAGTGACTTGTTTTATAGGGACTTATGTTTGACTTTTTTTTTAAAGGATTAGCATGACATACTTTTTCAGTATATTTTATTTAAATGTCTACTGAAAGGTTTAGTTTTGCATCAGAGACCAAAAAAGAAAGCCATTTAAAATGTTTGACTTAGCCAGGTGCTAGTGGTTCATGCCTATCTATAATCCTAGCTACTCAGGAGGCTGAGTGAGATCTGAGGATTCAGTTCGAAGCCAGCTTAGGCAGGAAAGTCCATGTAACTCTTACCTCCAATTAAACATCAGAAAACCAGAAATGGTGCTGTGACTCAAGTGGTAGAGTGTTAGCCTTGAGTCTAGAGCCTGGGATGGCACCCTGGCCTAAATTCAAGCCCCACACTACTTTAAAGGGAATGAGGTAAATTACTAGGGAATACCGCTTATGCATTTACCAATGTAGATCAAAATGTTTTTAGTGATAACTATCTCAGAAGCCTGACAGATTTTTTTTTAACTTTACAAACGTTACTTTACCTTATTAGAGACTTGAAGGGGAAAAATCCTAACATAGCTAATTTCAAATATTACATTATAATTTATATAACAAGAATTCACTGGTGCTACAATCAAAATTTTTAAATGGTTTGATAAGCTGTCAATATTTTATTTAATAGTTGGTAATCTTTTTTTCTTTCTAGGATTATCAGACATGGCTTGACCTTAGAGAATTTGAAACTCGTATTGGAGAACGTTACATTACACATGAAAGTGATGATGCTCGCTGGGAAATACATGCATACACACATAACCTTGCATATCCAAAGCACTTCATTATGGCACCCAATCCAGATGATATGGAAGAAGATCCTTAATTTTTATCAATGAGCTAACTTTAACAAGGATTTAATTTTATGTACTGATATTCTGCTGCATTAACTGTCGTCCTTTAGGTTGTCATTCTCAGGATGCAAAGCCATGAGAAGATACAGGAATTGGTGACACCAATACTGTAGTTCATGAGTAGGTACAGAAAGGGAAATTGATGTATAATGGACTCAAAACTGAAGTTTTTATAAATTTTTATAGCATAAGCAAATAAACTGGTTTTGTATTTTTCCTGTACCTTCACTTTATAGTAATGTCACTTTATCTTCCCTTTCTTGGTCTTTTGTTTTTTGCCAGTCCTGGGGCTTAAACTCAGAGCACAGGTACTGTCTCTGAGCTTCTCTTTGCTTAAAAGCTAGTGTGCTAGTGTTCTACCAATTGAGGCACAGCTCCATTTGTCCTTTCGGTAGTTTATTGGAGGTAGGTTTTACTTTCCTGCCTGAACTTGGTCTTTTTTTTTTTTAAGTCTGATTTTCCAGTTTTTTCATAGCTTAACCAAATTACACAAGATTTATAAGACTGATTACTAAAGAGGTTTTCATTTAAGCAATAACTGTGAAGCTACTAATATATGATTTACTGTAGGACCTTAAACATTTGTCCAGTCATCCATCGAGCAATTGAAAGGTTTTCCTAGATATCTATAGAGGATCCCTAGATGTTTTTGCCTTTCTCTTTAAATCATTCAAGACTGAAACAGTCCATAACCTTTCGATCCCTACAAAAAAAAAAATGTCACTTTCTGTAGGTTTTAGTAGCCATTAATATAATTTGTACAATTGTTTTTTTTTTTTTAAGTAAAATAGCTGAGATAAATGCTGAGTGGTTATGTGTGCCTGTTCCTAACTATGGAACAACTATTTTCCCAACTGACAGCATCATGATGCTACAGTATTTAAGATTCAATGGGTGCAGATCTAAATATTAATTGCATAACTCATCTTTATCCTGGGTTGAATTTGAAGTCAAAGATTAAATATGTACTAAAAGGAGCTATGTATGGTGAAGTCAGTTAATGCTACCATCACTATATAGATGTGTTTTCCCATAACCTATTAGAGGGTTTTGCTAATGTCTGGAGTGTTTTTTAAATCACCATTTTTCTTAAGCAATTATAAAACCCTCAGTTTATAAGGAGGGGGGGATGGTGAGGAGGACTATATTAACAGTAGAGAAATGAATAGAGGAAGGCCATTTTACATTTCAGCTCCAGGAGCCAGATTTTTCCAATATAATTACTGACATAGGTGGAATGTCTCTCATCTGAAATGTTAATTTGGATTTCCAACCTCGGATTTGGGAATTTGTATAGAGGTCACTTATTGGGCATCCCTAATCTGCAAATCTGAAATCTCATAGCCTCTGATGAAATGCAAAACTTTTCGAGCTTTGTGGTGTTCACAGATTTTCAGCTTAGAGGCAGTCTGATTGAAGAAAAATCTGAAGCCATCCATAGGAATTGTAGTGGCTTTGTTCTTTTGTTCAGCAGTTATCACTATGAACCTTGTTTTAGTTTGGTTTGGTTTCTTTTCCATTCTTAAGGGCAAGAACTTTGGAATTTAAGTCTTGGCTTCAGTATATTAGCTTTGGTAACCTGGACACATACGGTTTGTCTCTAGTTCCTCAGTCTATAAAATGAAAGTCATAATTTTTGCCTATATCTTCCTCACTGTGATCTATAGAAGATCAGATGTGAATTAGTGTAATTCAATAATGTGAAAAGTATACTAATGTTATTGTTGCCTACCAAGTTTGAGGTCGCAAAGGAGAATTGTATACAAACAAGATTGAGAGGCTTTTAGAATCTAGGACTGAAAATGATAAGCATTATGCAGCATTTCTGTGTTCTGTTTTATGTTTTAGTTTTTTGTTCAGAACAGCTACCTGATGAGGACATCATGAATCCCTTCTTACAGATAAGGAAATTGAAGTACTAAGTTAGCTGCCAGAGTTGATATAATTACAATACCCAGGCAGTAAGCTACCAGAATCCCTTACCCTCCTGCTCATTATGCTGCATCTATACAAATCTCCAGTAGACATTCCACATACTTCTGTAATTCGCTCTCATGTAGCCATTACTGCATTCTCTGATAGAGGATGATTTCTCCAAAATAAGTCAGTTTATATCAATATGGGCAAGATGGAATAATTTTTTTAGTTACTAAGCAACCTACTCTGGTTTTACAGCATAAGGTGAAGATTAACTGGAAATGATATCCATTTGCTACACTTATATAATCAACTGTATAAGCCATGAAGTTAATTGCACTCTTTGTTTTTATTACATGCCTAAGAAGTTTTCTAAAAAATTTTTGTAAAGGCACTGTCAAATAATTTGGAGTTGAACAATTACTCCAGATACTGTGTAACCTTTGTAACCTTTTGTCTTGAAGTCGTGTTTGTATAAGAGATAACTGTTTATAGAAACAGATGTCTAATATTGTATAGTCTCTAATGACACTGTTGAGTATCTTTTTATATTTTTTTGTTACATCCTACTTTTTGTAAATACTCTAAAGAAGCTTAATAATAAAATGTATTTCTGTATCACCATACTTTTTCTATGTGAAAATCTTGGTAGGGGTATCCAGAGAAAATTCTGTTTTACAGACTTTGATAATAGAACTATTTTGAAAATAGTATTTGTAAACAGAACTATGGAATATTTGTAAACAGAAGTAATATTTATGAGAACTGATTTTATGTATCTACCATTTTTAAACTACAACTGTATACTAAATCTGAAGTAATTATCTGAAGGGCACTTTAATGAAATTCATTAATAATTTTAACTTTAAAAATTTCAGTTATTCAACTATAGGAACTACTAGCAGACTTAGAAAAAGAAAAGTTAAATGCTGAGATTAATTTTCTGGGATTGAAGGTATACTGGACACTTGACTCCATTAATTATAAAAACAATTACATATTTTGGAAGGCTACTTGTGAGCATTTTCGGCTTTCAAATATTTTCCTAAGCCAGGTGACAGTGGTTCATACCTGTACTCCTAGATACTGGAGACAGAGATCTGGGGATCACAGTTAGAAGCCAGCCTGGGCAGGAAAGTCTGTGAGACTCTTATCTCCAATAAATTACCAAAAGTCTGGAAGTGGACCTGTGGGTCAAGTGATAGAGCACTAGCCTTGAACAAAAGCAGCTCAGAGACAGTGCCCGAACTGGCAAAATAACAACTCTCCTAAGCTGGGCACTAATGACTCATGGAGGTAAATCTGGGATCACAGTTTGAAGCTAGCCAGGGTAGAAAAGTCTAAGACTAACCAGCAGAAAACTGGAAGTGGACCTTTGGCTCCATATAGAGGGCTAGAGTAGAAAAGCCAAAAAAAAAAAAAATCCTCCCAGCCAAGTCTGGTGGGGGGAAAGCAAATTCGAAATGAAGTAAAATGGAAAAAGAGCAGCTACAAATGGCTTAGAATGTAAAAAAATAAGACCTCAGTCAGTACAGGTGTGTTACTGCTGCAGTCAGTTAAGCAGAAGAAGCAATAAAACTTACCATTTTTGACAACTTCCAGAGTATTAAGCCATAAGTTTAAGTTGTGGCTAGTACTTTTTTCCCTTAGCTACCTTTATATATTTGTGTTACTAATAAACACTTCCTCTGAAAGTCTGTATTTTCAATCAGTATTACAAGTTCGGTGAAGTAAAATGAGAACTTAAAATTCTGCATTTATATAAAAATACAGAAAATGAGTTAAGTTTCAGAAAGTTATTCCTTCTTATATTTACTTTTATGTAGGTACACATCAGATTTACTGTTCGCTGACTTTTAATTTTTTTAATTAAACTCTCATTTTTACATGCAAAATCAACAAAAAGCATATGGTAAGAAATTCAAATACCAAGAAAGTCTCTACCTACCTTTGTCTTCCAGATTTCGAGATTTTATAATTATTATTTATTGGATGTCTTCTCGTGTGTGTGTGATGCATGGGCTTTAACCAAGACAGTCTCTCCACCTACCTTTGTCTTCCAGGTTTGGAGGTTTTAATAATTTATATGTAATAAATATATATATACTATATTACATATAATTATATATAATAATTTAATAATATAAATTATTTATTGGGTGTCTTCCTGTGTGTGTGTCTCATGCATGGCCTTTAACTCTGGGCCTGGATGCTGTTCCTGGCTTTTTATGTGTTCAAGTCTAGCATTCTACCATTTGAGCCATAGCTTCAGTTCTGGTTTTTTGGTAGTTACTGGAGATAAAAATCTCACAGGCTTTCCTGCCAGGCTGGCTTTGAACTAAAATCTTAAGATCTCTATCTCCTGATTAGCTAAGATTACAGACATGAGCCCCTGGCACTTGCAAACAGAAAATAAAGGATCTAGGCAGGCACCAGTAAGTCAAGTCCTAGCTACTGAGGAAACTGATTTTCAAAGGATTTTGCTTCAAAGCCAGCCAAGGCAGAAAGTTCCACAAGACTCCATCTCCAAAGTAACCAACTGGATGTATATGGCTTAAGTGCTAGAACTCCCCTGGGCATACAAGCCAAGCAAGCACAAAGCCCTGAGTTTAGAACCCCAACACCATCCAAAAGAAATTCCAAATCTTGCTAATACATTAGCCAGATTTCTATGAAATGACAAACTGTAGCTTCAACAAAAATAGAATCACAACTGTAGCAACTTTTACATCCTATCATTCTCTTGCTAAGTCTTGTATTTCTGTCAGAATATACTGCTCTAGTTTTACTTTTAAAATAACATACAGATCAGTCTCATCAAGGTAGAGGCATGGTTCACATGGTAGAGCACCTAGCAAGTATGAGGCTCTCAGTTCAAACCCCATTACTGTTCACCTCCCCCCCAAAAAAAAAATCCTCTTGGAACTGTCTTTGCAGTTTCTATTAAATCATTCAGTGTTCATGTATTTTTTAAAATTTATTTGTCAGTCATGGGGCCTGAACTCTAGGCCTGGGCGCTGTCCCTGAGCTCTTCAGCTCAAGGCTAGTGCTCTACCACTTGTCACAGTGCCACTTCTGGCCTTTTCTGTTTATGTGGTGCTGAGGAATCAAACCCAGGACCTCATGCATGCATGCACCCAGTCCCACGTATATTTTTTAATAAGGCAAAAACTTTTTTTTTTGTAGGTCATGGGGCTTGAACTCTGGTCCTGAGCACTGTCCCTGAGCTCTTCGGCTCAAGGCAAGTGCTCTACTACTTGAGCCACAGCGCCATTACCGGTTTTCTGGTGGTTAACTGGAAATGAGTCTCACAGACTTTCCTGCCTGGGCTAGCTTTGAACTTACATCCTCAGATCTCAGCTTTGTGAGTACTAGGGTTACAGGTGTGAGCTACCAACGCCCAGCCAGCTCTAGCTTTATTAAAGGAAACTCAAATTTCATAATTTAATCATTAAGAATATATATTTGTACCAAGAGTCAGTTACCACATTAAAAACTCGACGGTTTTGACTGTATACTTTATAAAAATGGGCTATTTTTTATTTATTTTTTGGTCTGGTCGTGGGGCCTGAACTCTGAGCCTGGGCGCTGTCCCTCAGCTTTTTAGCTCAAGGCTAGCACTCTACCACTTGAGCCACAGCGCCATTTCCGGCTTTTTTCTTTTTGCTTATGTGGTGCTGAAGAATCGAACCCAGGGCCTCAGGCATGCAAGGCAAGCACTCTACCACTGAGCCACCTTTCAGCCCCCAAATGGGCTATTTTTGCCAGGTGCCAATGGTTCATATCTGTAATCCAACCTACTCAGGAGACTTGAGACCTGGAGGATCATGGCAGAATAGTCTGAGAGACTCCAATTAACCAGCAAAAAAGTCTGGCTGGAGTTGGGGCTCAGGTAAAAGAATGCCAGCCATGAGCCAACAAGCCATGTAAGCACAACTGCCCCAAGTTCATGCTCCCATATAGTGGGAAAAGGGGGGACTATTTTTTATGATTGTGAAGAGTTAAAATACTTTCAACCAGTCACATTATCTTCAGCGTTTGAAGTGTATTCCTTATAATTTCTTGAGTAGGCTGAGAAGTGAAAAGTCTAGAACTGTCACTGCCAAGTTAGTTCACCAAATCCAGCTACAGGTGATGATGCAGAGGGTTTTGACTGACATGTGCCCATCTGATGACTTCCAACTTGAAGTCTCTGATGAGGTAGCAAGGCAAAGAAGTTAAATCTTTCTCCCATCTTCTTAGGATTCATTAACATATTGTACCCATGAAGTAACTGCTGCCTCACTGATGGCTCATCTGCTTTATCTAAAAGAACCTGTAAAGATAAAAGTCTTAGTAAAAAAGCAACTAAAACTCCTCGGTAGATGCAGCAGTATTAATAGCTTGAGTGCTCCAATAAAGCAGTGCTCAAATGAATTTCTGACCATAACCAAATATTCCCAAGTGCTTTTCTCTTTAATAAGATGTAAGTTGCCTGGGAGAACAGTTTTAAAATGCATACCCATGAACATAAAAGTAACTCTACCACTACTACAAAATTAAGATATTTAACCATAGTGAAATAAACCAATACCTTCAGTCGGACATCAATGCCCATATTTTTTAAAAATGTTTGTTGTTGGATTGGCCCCAGTGAGGCTGCTTTTCCTTGTGTCATTCTGCGCAAGTAACTGAAATCCACATCAGCTGTTAGGTCTGCTGTTCCAGGGGCAATTAACACGTCATGAAGCTTGTGGCTGCAAAACCCCTTGAACATAAAAGAAATGTTTTCTTCTCCTTTGTATGTATTATTGTCAAGATTAAAGAAATGCAATCATAGTAATACATTTTTACATAGTAATTGTTCCAAATAAAAATAGGACCAATCTATGGTTTAGCCAGCTGTAGTACCCTTTCTCAAAATGAGATGTCACATGGGAAACCCAACAGAATGGGCAAAGCTGGAGTGCATGAAGACATTACCTTTCACTTAAGAGATCAGTCTACCATGTCCACTCAAAACCCCAGGAGAATATGTTACTGCACTCCAGACCTGGACAATCTGAATATGGGAAGTGAAACTACTAATCAACATTTTTAACGAACTCTTCTACAATATTAAAGTTAGAATCTCTGGTCTGATGCTAGAAAATAGCATAGCATATAAATATATTTCCGTTAAAGAGTATTTTAGCAGATTACTCAGAAGGGATGTTTAGAAAGGATGAAGGACTCTAATGAAAGGGCAGAAAAGGTTAAATCAGAGGAAAACCCTTACATTTATACTATTCAGATGCTTATGAGGAGCTACATAAAGAACTTAAGTAATTCAGACCTGGTTCAAACATGGTTGGACAATGAATTTAGGAGTGAGATAAAGAGCTAATGATAATATAACAACATGAATTAACATTAATTCTAAGATAATGTAACACAAAAATGCTCACTACTGTGAAAAACAAAGACAAAACAAAGATGTTCAGTGTGTATCAGATTTGAAATTCTTGTATCATGTTCCTGAGTTATACATACTCTGAAAGTGTCTGTCTTTGTTCCATCATGACCATAATCAGCAATTAGTGCAGCACCTCCAGTGAGTGCAATGCGCTGAGAAAGTTCCTGAATAATTACCCCAGCCTCTGGACATACTTCAATATGATCTCTTGTTTCACCACACTGGTAAGGAATAAATCATATAACATCATTCCAAAAAACGATCTCCTTCAGTATTTTCACAATAAAAAAAAATACACACACACACACACACAATCTCCTTGAGGTTTCTCATGTTTTTCTACAGTGAGCATTCTTGAGCCAGTAGTCAAATCCTTCTCAGTATGAATATGCTCACTACATTCAACATGTCCCATGCTACCCCTTTCACTCAGAACTCCTTGGTTCTTTGAGGCTATCCACCAACCGTACACTGTAATTTTTCATAAAAAGGCATATGTCCTCCCAACCATCCAGATGGCCAATTAAACTAATACTTACTGTAAAAGTTCTTTCATATAATAAGTTAAAATCATACAAATATATCCCAGTGGATTGAAAGCATTAGAATAGGATTTGTCTGCCTAGAATAATAACTAGCACTAACAGACAATCTTCAAAAGGTCAGATATCAATATAATGAAATAGGTCCTATTAAGTAAATCATGCTGCCTTCTGTTGGGACCAAAAGTATCCTGATGGTACATCCTGTGTCTAGCAGCCTGCAAACTCAGTATCCCTGAGACTCATTACCCAAGATGTTCAACCACTGATTAAAGGCCCACAGAAGTAGTTACTACAAAAGTGAACTCACAATATTATCTTACCAACTTTAGTTTATATGAGGTTTCATTAACAACAGAGATGATTGAAATTTTGATATTCTTCATTATGTAAGCGTACATAACTTCTCCCTCTTCTCACTCTACTGAAAATGAGGTAATGACCTGCCTAAGAAATTCTCATTTAAGGTCCAGAAAATAGTTATTTTGTTTTTTGCGTTTTTCTCCTGCGGTGGAAATAAAGGGAATAAAAAGACACTCTGGGGCTGGCAATATGGCCCTGCCTCGCATGCATGAAGCCCTGGGTTCAATTCCTCAGTACCACATAGAAAAAGCTAGAAGTGGTATTGTGGCTCAAGTGGTAGAATGCTAGCCTTGAGCAAAAGAAGTTCAGGAACAGTGCTTGAGTTCAAGCCCTAGGACTGGCCAAAAAAAGAGACACTCTGAAGCCTAGACATTTCTGGGAAGTACAAGACATTCCTGGTGGTTTTTGTACCTTAAAACTCAAAGTAGATGAGCTCTTACGGTCATTCTTTGGAGTGCTAGAAAGTACATTTGTCATTCTGGCAGTCTAGAATCAAATTTTGGTTGTGGTGGAAGTATGGGGGAAAAGCTATGCTGAGCCCAAAGACCACTGATAACAAATTATTAAGTTGTTTTGAAAAAATAGAAAACAAAAAGTAAAACATACTAAGTGCTCATAAGTATGAACTGATACTTTACTATGGTATGCACTGTACTGCCTTCACAGACATGGAACTCTTTCTATAAAACAGACTATATATTTACCATTTGATAACAGTAACGAGGTGGTAGTGCTGAGGACTGCTTATGAACGTTCTCTTACAAAACATTAAAATAACACTAGCTGAATTCAGGGGTTCATGTCTGATTCTAGCTACTTATGAGGCTGAGTTTGGGAGAATGGAGGTTCCAGACCAAAACATTTTCAAGACTCTCTCTCAACTAATGTGAACCTGTTACCCCAGATACATAGGAGACAGATCAAGAATGCAATTCCAGGTCAGCCAGGGGAAAAAAAAAAGATTCCATCTCAATGGAAGAAGCTAAATGTGATGGTGTACACCTGTCATTCCAGCTACTGAAGGAAGCATAAAATAGGAAGATAAGGTCCAGGCCCGAGCAAAAGGTGAGAACTCATCTCAAAATAATCAGTGCAAAAAGAAAGGGGGGCTAGAGACAACGCTCAGTGATAGAACAATTGCCTAGCAACCACGAGACCTAGAGTTCAAACTCCAGTACTACCAAAAAAAGATGGCAGGCTCAAAAAATTAGTTTAACCCATTCTTTTGATGGTCTTCTACACTTCCACTGTCGCTGTCCTTAACAAGTAATCTAACATACCAATTTTTGGAAAGGAAACTGTAATAGTAATGAATAAAACAAGATTTGGCTATTCTATTAGCAATAAGAGAAATTTTACAGGAAAAAAATATTCTTACTTGTATGAAGGCTTCTGCTGGAGTGGCACCAGGTGCCAAGACAAATCTCAGCTTATCAGAAACTTGTGGGTCAATATCAATGAGTACTTCTCTCCATCCGTGTGGTGTTTTCTACACAAAAGTTTCCCAAGTTCTCAAAATTGCCTTTACAAAAAATAACTATTAGCTCTCCCACGATGAATAATATTTCAGAGCACTGAGCTATGATAAATTATTAAAATACAGTCATATCCTTTGAAAATATGTGTACACAGACATTAACATTATAAGGAAGAAGAACTAGCAGATGTGGAAGACAGGAAAATGAGCAACATGGAACCTGCCCCAAAAATGGAAAACAAAATCAATACCTGAAATTTATGTATAGGAAGAACATCAAAAAATTCGTTTGCAAGATAGAAGCTGTATCCTATTTAAAACAGGGAAACAAATCTCAGTATTTTAATGCAATTATTTCAACATTAAAAAAGAGAATTCCTGTTTCTTCAATAGTGGAATCTTCTACAACCATCACTACCCAAGAACTATCCCCTTCCTCAAAAAAACTAAGAATATGCAAAAGAACAGTTATTTTTATACTCATTTTCTTCCATATAATGGTGAATGAGTTGAAATACCTGAACTAAACTAAACCTGTTCGTCACCTGGCCCAAAAGAAATGCTAACTCAAATTTGTTAGTTGGAAAAGAATATGAATTTCATAATATCAAAGACCAGGAGAGACCCTGTTCAAAAACTAAAAAAGGGCTGGAGGCATGGCTCAAGTGGTAGAATGGCCTGCCTAACAAGTAGAGACTGAGTTCAAATATCAATACCAATGAAATAATTATAGTCAACTATCACTACCATGAAGAATTGTGATCAAAATTCTTTCGTTAATGTAATTACCTTTTGGAACATCCTTCAGATCACGGTACCAGGAAACTGGAATCCCAGACTTGGTCACACCTTTCATATACACAAGAGATTCCGCATCTCTCTCTAATGGTATCTTCTTGTCAGTCAATGTCAGTGCCTGAAACTCACTTAATTTTTGACTCACCTCTACCAGGTGTACTGAAATGTCACAGGTTTTCAGCACAGATCCAAGCTGACTGAACACCTAAATACAGAAAGAAAAAATTATAGACAGATGAAATGTGTTAGGCAGACTATAGGTTTTCTAACCCATTTACCACAATGATTTTCAGGTTTCCTAGTTTTTTTCCACTTTGGAGAGTGTCTGATTTTAATTTCCATTTACCTGATTACTGTTTGGATTTACTCTTAGATGGGCATGTTCATATACTTGGCCTGATTTTTCTATTAAGCTATCTGTTACTTCTTATGTGATTTAAGGAGTTCTTTAAATATTCCAACTATTGTTTTCTCTTTGTTGGTATTACATGTTACAGATAATGTCTCCCACTCTGGATTAGCACCCCATAGTGACAATAAAAAACTCCTATTTTTATGAAGTGAAAAACCATTCTTATAAAGAACAAATTCTTAATTGTAATTTACTTGAAATTAATCTTTTCTTTTTTGGCTTCTGCTTTTTATATAATTTTAAAAGATGGCCCTGAGTTCAAGCCCTACGACTATACACACATACAAAAATCCTTGAACCAAGCATGGTGACACATGTCTGTAATACTAGCATTGGGAGGCAGAGGCAAAGCCAGCAAGACATTGTCTCAAAAGAAAACTTTACCTACTCACAAGACAAATATATTCTTCTATAATGTCTTCTAAACATTTAAATTTTTTTTTTTTGGGCCCGGTCCTGGGGCCTGAACTCTGGGCCTGTGTGCTGTCCCTCAGCTCTTCAGCTCAAGGCTAGCGCTCTACCACTTGAGCCACAGCGCCACTTCCGGCTTTTTTCTTTTTGCTTATGTGGTGCTGAGGAATTGAACCCAGGGCCTCTGGCATGCAAGGCAAGCGCTCTACCACTGAGCCATCTTCCCAGCCCCATACATTTAAAATTTTTAACTTTTACAGACATTATATGATATTACATTATTCTGGCACTTTTAGTAAGAAAATAAGATGAAATAGGTAGGAGTAAAAGCAAAAAAACACCATGAAATATCCAAATTCAGTAAGTAGTAGTAAGTTTAACCTACATAAATGATAATGATATTCTTTTACTTTTTTTTTGTTTGTTTTTTTGGGTCCGGTCTTGGGGCCTGAACTCTGGGCCTTGGCGCTGTCCCTCAGCTCTTCAGCTCAAGGCTGGCGCTCTACCACTTGAGCCACAATGCCACTTCCGGCTTTTTTCTTTTTGCTTATGTGGTGCTGAGGAATTGAACCCAGGGCCTCTGGCATGCAAGGCATGCGCTCTACCACTGAGCCACCTTCCCAGCCCCAGACTTGCTGACTTCTTTCTTTTTGCTTATGTGGTGCTGAGGAATCGAACCCAGGGCCTCAGGCATGCAAGGCAAGTGCTCTACTACTGAGCCACCTTCCCAGCCCATGATATTCTTTTACTACCTACCCTCAAAATGTCTCCTGTGAGTGTTCCCCGACCTGGGCCCAGTTCTACTAGCTGAAAAGCTGAACTTTTTCCAGAGGACATCCATTCACTAATGAACCATATCCCTACTAGCTGTAATAAAGAAAAAAAAACACATATTAAAGTATTGTAAAATGTAAATTACACAATATAAAACTCCACAAAAATAAGTAATTCCTATCAGAAAGCAAAATAATAGCAAAATAACCATGTGTGTCATTACATACACATGTAGGAATTTCACTAGGAATGTGTCACAACACTATGTAGGAAGCTTAATAATAGGAAAAAATTTACAAGATTATAATAGAATAATTGTAAGGCAGCATCCTCTATAAAACGTTCCATGACCCAGATAAAAGGATATCAATTACATAAAGGGGCTGGTATGTGAAAGCAAATATAGGGCATATTCAATGCAATTATGTCACTTTCAGCTCTTTGGATTTATATAATCTCTTAGATATGATTAATGTTCATCAAACCTGGATTCTGCTTCCACTTATACACAATTTTCTATTTCTAAATTATTTAAAGTGCTTTTATGGAAATACATAAACTAAAATTCTGGTGTGTGTGTGTCTGTGTACTATGGATTAAATTCAGGGCCTCCTGCTTTCACTTTCATTTTTTGCTCAAGGCTGGAGCTTTCCCACGTGAGCCACACCTCCACTCCCAGAAATGTTGTTTCTTAAAGGAAAATACTATGTTAAACCATGGCTGGGAGCTTTACAGATCATCCTGATTCCATTCAGTGTTCTTTTTTTTACCTTTTCTCTCTCCCTGTTTCCATTCCCGTATTTCACCTGGCTCTCCTCTTTTACTTCTATCCTTTTTCCTTCATATTGCTCCACTTCCTCTTCTACAAGGAAGTATAAACTTTTCAAATGTCCTCTCTAGCATTTCCCCTCATAGTCTTGCTAATTCCTCTAAAAGTAAACACTTTTGATGAGTTACCATGTAAAGCACTGTTATAGACTAATAGAACTTGATCAGCTCTCAAATACTTATGTTTCTTTCTTTTATCATAAACATTGGGTATTACCTCTCCAAAGATCTGGCTTATTTCAGGTGAAGTAATGAAATCTCCTTTTTCTCCTAGCATATCATGGTGAACATAATATCCCTGAGTTAAAAGAAAAAAAAAAGATGAAGTCAATTTCCAAATAAACCTTTTACAATACCCTTTCAATATTTTCTCTAAGACAAAGACAGTATATTTTCCTCAATTTACAAAATAATGATCCTCTTGCAGAACTGGGGAAAAAATAAACAATGGTTCAACTGTAAAGGCAGGAACCATGCAACATCATCTTTGTCTTCCCTCACTTCTCCCTGCTCCCACAATCCAACCATGGACAATCCTGCCTACCCTCTGCCTAATGCTGCTCTTCAGTCCACCCTGCCACTGGTTAATGTTCTTATTCCTGGAATTACATAGGGCTGTTCATCAGAACTATACCTGTGACAGCTGCACTTTTCTGTGTATTACATCTCAACAGAAAGGTGTTTGCTTCTAAGTAGCTCTGCTTGTCCATGCTGCCATGACCACTATGAATTCACATCTTTCTCCCGTTTCATTTCACCCTGGTAATTGTCCTTTCATCTGTCCAAATGCAACTCTTGCTGTCCCCCAGCCTTTCAACCTAAAACTAAATTCAGTGCTTCCAAAGGAATTCTATGTTTCCATCAGAAAGAATGATATTGTACCACTCATAAGGAAATGGAAAGACTCAGAAAAAATTATACTAAGTGACGTAAGCCAGACCCTAAGAAACAGGTTGCAAGCCAGGCGCTGGTGGCTCACGCCTGTAATCCTAGCTACTCAGGAGGCTGAGATCTGAGGATCACGGTTCAAAGCCAGCCCGAGCAGGAGAGACCATGAGACTCCTATCTCCAATAAACCACCAGAAAACCGGAAGTGGCGCTGTACCTCAAGTAGTAGAGTGCTTGCCTTGAGCTGAAGAGCTGAGGGACAGCGCCCAGGCCCAGAGTTCAAGGCCCACGACCGACCAAAAAAAAAAAAAAAAAGAAACATTTGTTGTCATTAGAATGTGCCTTTAAATCTACAAGTAAACACACTAATGGTAACAGAAAAAAAATACACTTGGACATGATAAAATTATACAGGACTCATTTATACAGCGAGACCAAAGGAGGATATTCTTAAGCGAGGATCACAAAGGCCCAATAGCTATGTGCATATGATCATATAAAATGATGTTTATCGAAATGAACTCCAAAAAATGAAAATGAGGTTTGTTATTTTGCTTTTTGTTTTTCTCCTTTGTTGCTTTTATTTTCTGTACCTTTTGTCTTGTATATATCTGTTTGGAGGAGTACCAGGGTAAACAAATGCAGCAGTGATACTAGACTATGTTGAAAATTAACTATACAACTTGGGTGGGGTTGGGAAAAACTGGGAGAAAATAAGGGAAGAGGTGACACTGTTGAAGAAAAAAATACTCATTACCTGACTTACGTAACAGGAATCCCTCTGTACAATCCTTTTACAATAACAAAAATAAATTCAGTGGTTCTTTTTATGAGCTTATTTTTTATATCTGTTCTTTACCACAAGGTAAAATGATTTGAGGAAAAGTATATTTTATTTTTATTCAGATCCCAACTTTTAGTATATAGAGTATATTCTATTTTTATTCAGATCCCAAGTTTTAGCACAATACCCATCTTTCAAGACAGACTCAAGAACTTCCTGTTAAGAAAACTTCCTTGCCCTTTACAAGTCCTTTATTAAACTACCCAAACCCTTAGCAGGTAGACAGGTCTCCTGCTCTATGTATAAAATACATTTCTTCTGACCCTGACTCCATCTGGCCTCTACTTGCTACCTCTCTTTTCTTTGTACTCAAAAGAAAATGCCTTTCCTTTCCCTTCTGTGCAATCCTAATTCTTCCACCTATCATGAGGACTGCCATTCATTTTTCAGACAACTCCCATAGGTATTTTTGTTTTCATCTTGTCTCTTCAACTTTTCTCATTAGGCATTAGGAATAAATCCAGTCACTATCACCTTTACAAAAGAACCTTTTGTTCACTCATAGAACATCCCTTCTAGACTTTAATTTCTGACACATTTAATCTTTTTTGTTATAAAGCAGCCTAATATAATGAAGCCTACTAAATAGAACTTACGAAAGCACAGAACTTAAAACACAATTTCAAAAGAAGTTGAAAAATTATTTCTCAAGTGTGAAAAAAATTGTGATGTAACATAACAGACTTCTTTATATTAAGTGAAAAAACAGGCCAATGGTCTAATAATTAATCATGGGCATTTTGAGATATTAATGATCACTATATTATGATATGTCAATATTGGTGATTTTCACTAATGACAAAGTCACAGGTATCACTGGTATTTATGGTTGTTGCCGATATTCATAATTAAAGAAATGCTGTATTTCAGTAAGAAAGTAATGAAGATAAATGAGTTATGTTTTTTGTTTTGGTGTTTGTTTTGCAATTCAAGTTCATAAACCTCCAGTTTTTTTAGAGAAGACTCTTTAGGTTAAGAAACTCAACACTGTTTTTTGGTCAGCTGTGGGGCTTGAACTCTGGGCCTGGGCACTATCCCTGAGCTCTTCAGCTGAAGGCTAGCGCTCTACCACTAGAGCCACAACGCTGCTTCCAGTTTTCTGCCCAGGTGCTTTGAACCGTGATCCTCAGATCTCAGCCTCCTGAGTAGCTAGGATTACAGGCATGAGCCACCAGTGCCCAGCTTCAACATTAAGTTTTAAAATACCCTCAAGTCTTAATACTGGAAAACCTTTTCCTCTATGTACACTGTCCCTAGTTCCTTGGCTTTAAATACAATTATTACTCTGGGGACAAGTAAATTTATATACATATACCCAATCTTTCTCCCGTCTGAAGATTCCCACTTACCATCTCTACCTAGACATCCTAGTGCCCCTCCTCCCCCAAAGTATTAAGTACAGCTCTTCCCCTGTAGTCCTGGAAATGTGGCCTTCTGTCCTAATGATAGTAACTAAAGGCACTGCCATTACCCAAATGCTCAACCTGAAAACCTAGAAATCAATCTCATTTCCTTTTCCTTCACCCTTCCACAACTAAACCATCAGCAGATTCTATAGGTCTAAAACCTATTTCTAAACTACTCACTTCCTATCCCATTTTTACTATCACTCTATTACCTTATAGCGTCCCTGTCTTTAGTAACCCAATGGCAAGTCATTCCACCATATCAACGGCAATAGGCCAAGCCAATCTCAGAAGTCCACCAGGGTCACATTTAACTCAACAAAAGGAGAAATTTCATAAAAATAAAGAACCACGGGGTTCTATGAAAGGGCTTTGTAGAGCAGACAGGAAAATACAATTCAGAAATTATGACAGTCCCTAATCCTGAATAGTAAAGAACTATATAACTACCGTATATACACTTAAACTGCCTTCTGAAGTTACTTCAACACATGGAACCTTCTCTTTATTGGCAGAGCCCCGGGCTTGCTCCAGCCCTGACTAATTGACAGATTAAATCTTCTGTCCCCAGGTGTCTGGGAATCATTCTCTGCACACACCCCTTGTGGCTCACGCCACAAATCTTCCAGAGCGAGTCTGATCTTAGGCTCCTCTCCCCATACCTTGTCCGGGTTGGTCAACACCTCCTTCATGTACTCGGCCACCGTGATGGGACCGGTAGACTTTATTTTGTACATGAGATGTCGAAACATAGGTGTCACCCGGTTGCTTTCTGCCGGTTCATTCCCGGAGCTGAAGTATTTCCCTCTCCAAACACAGGGAAAGACTGGAAGAAGAAGAAGAAAAAGCAGAGTAAGCAGCAGCCCCGATTATACGTCAGAATTTACATCCCGAGAGCTTTCAAGGAAGCTCTGCTAACGCTCAGCGGCGCTTCCAGGCCAGGAGGCGCCGGGCGCCCCGCGCGCCGCCCCGGCCGCCGCCGGCTGCGGCCGGCCTCCACAGTGCCCGCAGGCCGGAAGCGAGGCCCGGAGCCCTAAATCCAGAAACTGAGAACGCCAGCCTAGCGGTTCCCACGGCAACCGCGGGTCTGCAGGGGAGAGGCTCACGAGCGCGCGCGACGTGACGCAGCGGCCGGGCGACGGGACTCGCCGGGACCATCTTGCCGAACTCCGCCGGTGGCCAGGCGCCGCCTCCGGGGGCGGGGCCGAGAGGCCCCTTCCGAAGATAACGCGTCCCCGGAGGAAGTGCGTCACGGGCGGGGCGGAAGTGAGCGCTAGCTGGGCGCGCGTGCTCTGCTAGTCATGTCGGGGGCCAAGAAGCCTTTGGAGTTCCATGACAAGCGGCCCTGGCGCCCGGAGGCGACCGTGGAGGATCCAGATGAGGAAGACGGGGATGACAGCGTGGAAGCCGACAGTGGGTTCTCCCTGGAGGAGGTGTTGCGCCTCGGAGGCACTAAGGTGAGCGCCGCCGGCCCCCGGGGAAGGGGCTCGGGTACCGGGCCCGGGAGGCTTCGCGGGTCGGAACGATGCTCCGGCCGCGCCCGCACGGGGCGAGGAGGCCGCCTGGGCCCGAGTCTCCCCTCCGAGTGTGCCGCGGGCGCTTCCCACGCGTTCCCAAACGTTCCCTCAGAACGTTTGCGTGATCGCATGCCCTAGGATGTAGAGGACCCTTTCATTTCTTTGCGGGGTCAGGCGGGAGAAACCCAGCGCCTCGGTCTTCACCCCGCGCTCCAGTGTTGTCCGCGGTGTGGGAATTTCAACTTCTGAGCGTTGGGCGTGCTTGCGCATGCTCACTGCGCTCCCGAAGGCCCCTTTCGCGGAACGCACGGCTAGTATGACAGACAGCAAACAAACACGTGAAGTGGTTGCTCCTCAGACGCCAAGTAGTGAGGGGCATTGCCGTTTTAAATGGTAGGATCGGAGAGAGGATCTCTGAAAAGAGAGTTGAGCAAAAAACCCTGAAGAACAAGAGAGAGCTACGTACGTACCTGTCAGCTGGAACCGCAGATACAAAGTGTAATTGCGCCTAACTGGTGCTGTGGAGGCAGAAATGCACTATAGCCGACGCAGAAAGAAGGAAGAATAGTAAGAATTGAGATAATCAAATGTAAGAGAAAGGGCTTTTCTCCATTCAAAAATCGTAATAAGCTGAGCAGGGCGCCGGTAGCTCACACCTGTCATCCTAGCTACTTAGGAGGCTGAGATCTGAGGATCATGGTTGAAAGCCAGTCGGGGCAGGAAAGTCCGTGAGACTCTTATCTCCAATTAACCACTCAGAAAACCGGAAGTGGCGCTGTGGCTCAAGTGGTAGAGCACTAGCCTTGAGCTGAAGAGCTGAGGGACAGCTCCCAGGCCCAGAGTTCAAGCCCTATGACCAACAACAACAACAAAAAGATTATAAACAGATACATAAGCAGGATTTGTTCTGATTTCTAGAAGTATTGTTTTCTTTGGAGACCAAAGATGAGGTTAGAAGGAAAGACATTTGCTACCCGTAAGAATAGCTTACTCTCTACAGGAATTTTATTTAATATCTGAATAGGTAATATCGCCACATGATAACAACTTTTGTCTTCCAGTAAGTCTCTACCTTACTATGCAGATACTTACTCAGCACCTGTCTATGAATTATGTGTCATTTTTTACACAGTACCATATATTTTGCTCTTTTCTCCACCTTCAAGAATCTAATGTATATCTATAAAAAAAATCTTGTGTCGTTGATTTTATGACTGCCTAAATTATTATATCTTAATTTTAGCCAGCCATTTATTTTGGTTATTTAAGTTGTTGCCTTGTTTTTGCAATCTTAACTAATTGTGGTAAATGACACTAAACATATTTTGCTTCACATTTCCAAATGTGCACTTTCAGATTAAAGGCTATGGATGTGCCTTTTAGGTGTTTGCTTGTTTTAATGTTGTTGCAGAATGGAGCCCAGAGACTCTCCAGCATGAGAGAGAAGTTCTCTACCACTTGAGCCACACTTCCCTACCCCATAGTTTGATTTTGATAAATTACCCTCAATAGAGGTTGTGCCCATTTACATTCACATCAGTCCTGTTCACAAACACCTTATTCTCTCACTTATCCAAACCAGGTTAAATGGATGTATCATTGTGGTTTGAATTTGGATTTCTGTAAATGCAAGGTTGAACTTTTTTTTTATCATGGAAGGACCTTCTCTTCTCTATACTGTTCATATCCTTTGCAGGTTTTCCTACTGGATATTTGTCCCTTTATCACTGATGTGTGGGAACTTTCATATTAAGCCACTAAAACCACTTTACTATGAGTTGTTACTATTTGTTTTTAATTTGTTATTTGTCTGTTGGTTTGCTCTGTGCTTTGTGTGTGAGAAGAAATGGTAACTTAGCTGATCCTGTTCCTTGTGAACTCTGAGGCTTTTTTTTTTAATTTGAAGGATGTTTACTCTGAAATTCTCAGTTTAGTTATATTGTACTTGTGTTATTTTATGGTGTCATTGTTCACATTTTAAAATTATCCATGAAGTATTTACTTGGGCATAAGATAGGATTCTAGGTATTACCATAATAATTAGTTTCATTGATTTCAACTAATTTCAAAGAGGAAGTTTTAAATGAACGCTGGATTCACAATGTATGTTTTTACTTTCTTGTGTTTTCATGCAGCAAGATTATCTTATGCTGGTTACTTTGGATGAGAATAAGGAAGTGGTGGACGGAGGCAAAAAAGGAGCAGTTGATGACCTTCAGCAAGGTGAATTGGAAGCATTTATTCAAAACCTTAATTTGGCTAAATATGCAAAGTCCTTAATTAAAGATGATGAACCAACAAAAGAAGAAAATACCGGCAAAAAAGAAGCCAAAGTATCTACAATAAGTAAGAAAAAGCAAAATTCAGCAGAAAATGAAAAGACAGTCAGCAAGAAGAAAAATAAGAATAAGCCAGAACAGTGTTCTGATAAGAATGACAGTGTGCCAAAAGTGAACAAAGAAAAACAAGACATCTTTGAATTCTTTGAAAGGCAGACATTGTTACTCAAGCCTGGAGGCAAATGGTTTGATCTAGAGTATTGCAATGAATATTCTTTGGAACCCCAGTCTCAGGAAGTTGTGTCTAAGTACCAAACCCTGGCTCAGAAGCTGTATGAACATGAAGTCAACCTATTCAAAAACAAGACAAATAATCAAAAGGGAGGCTCTTCTACCTGGATGAAGGCAATTGTATCCTCAGGAACACTAGGTGACAGAATGGCGGCCATGATTCTTCTCATCCAGGATGATGCTGTTCACACACTCCACTTTGTAGAAACTCTGGTGAACCTTGTTAAAAAGAAAGGCAGCAAACAACAGTGCCTCATGGCTTTGGATACTTTCAAAGAGTTACTCATCACAGACCTTTTGCCGGATAGCCGGAAGCTAAGAATTTTCAGCCAGCATCCTTTCCACAAACTAGAAAAGATGTCCAGTGGCAACAAGGATTCACGAGATAGAAGACTGATATTGTGGTACTTTGAACACCAGCTGAAACACTCAGTAGCTGAATTTGTGCAGGTCTTAGAAACTTTAAGTCATGACTCATTAGTAGCCACTAAAACTAGAGCCCTTATTACAGCTCATGAGCTTCTTTGTAACAAACCTGAGCAAGAAAAGGCTCTTCTTGTTCAGGTAGTGAATAAACTGGGAGATCCTCAGAATAAAATTGCTACAAAAGCCTCTCATCTATTAGAGACATTACTCTGTAAACATCCCAATATGAAAAGAGTTGTATGTGATGAAGTAGAAAGGCTTCTCTTTCGCTCAAATATCAGCTCCAAAGCTCAATATTATGCAATTTGTTTTTTGAATCAAATGGTCCTCTCCCATGAAGAAAGTGAACTGGCTAACAAATTAATAACTCTTTATTTTTGTTTTTTTCGGACTTGTATCAAGAAAAAGGATATTGAGTCAAAAATGCTTAGTGCCCTTTTAACAGGTGTGAATAGGGCATACCCCTATTCTGAGACAGGTGATGACAAAGTGAGGGAGCAGATAGATACCTTGTTCAGGGTGTTGCATATTGTAAACTTCAGTACCAGTGTACAGGCCTTAATGTTACTTTTTCAAGTAATGAATTCTCAGCAGACAATTTCTGATCGATACTATTCAGCATTATACAGGTAAGTACACTGTACGACAATGTATGAATATCAGGAATAAGTTGGTCTCATGTGGCAAGTTCAGTGCAGTGCTTCTCTTTTGGACCAGAGGAGAGTTAGAAACTTGGAGATGAGGCCTCCCTCAGCAACTCAGTACTCACCAACTTTTGAGTTATTTGAGTTAAAAGCAAAATTTATGTTTTGCTACATTTCTTTTTGGAATGCTAAGGAAATAGGATTTCAGGTATGAAAGAAACTTCTACTTATTCTTACTTTTATATCTCTTCCATAGAGCATCGTTATCTGCTGGGCAAGTATGCTTTTTTCAGCCAGGCATGATAATACATACCTGTAATCTCAGCTTTTTGAGACAAGGGCATGTTTAACCCTCTTTTTCAACATTAAGGTTTTGTATACTGGTCTTTCCAACAGTGCTATATATATTTTTTATGTCATATTTCTGTGTGTGTGTGTAAAGAAACATGGACAACAGTAGTTAATTTAGCATAAACTCAAAGCATAATGTTATATCTATCTTGTATAGTTATGAGGATTGCAAAATTTTCCCAAGATCATAAAGCCAGTGACTGATAGAGCCAGGACTTTAATGATGATTGATGAGTTAATGTATGTTAGCTTTGTAAGAAGAAAGGGCCAGATGCAACAGCCTTCTTTTTAGGTCCTTCCCTAAGAACCTAAAGACCTCCCCCACTTAAATTCCACCTCTTAAAAGTTTCACCATCTCACAGTAGCACCCTGCTGGAACCCAAGCCTTTACCACACAGACCTTAAGAGGGAACATAAAACCAAACTACAGCGATATATGTACTAACATATAATCTTCAGGTGTATGTTAAGTTCTTAACATGACCCAGCTCACTAAGTGCTGGCTGCTAAGTAGTAATGTTTTTAGTTTGGGAACTGTCCCAAGGCTGAAAATGTAGGATTTGGAGTCTTGAAGGTTTTTCGCAGTAATATTTAAAGAACTTCTAATTTTTCTGAAAACATTTGTCTATATCCATGTAATATCACAAGTTCATTGAACACAGCAAAGTATACAACACAGCA